GTGAGAATTTTTATAAAATGTTTTATAGATGGCACATGGATCCTGCAACTATGTCTCGCATTTATGAGAATTATGAATCCAAGTGCTGGAGGTGTGGACAACAAGATGCAACTTTTTTTCATATGTGGTGGACTTGCAAGGTCATTAAGGCCTTCTGGATAAAACTATGGTGGAATTTACAGCAAGTTTTTAAAAGAAGAATTTTTTTCTTGCCTCAGTTGTTCCTCCTAGGTATTACACAAAATTTGGATGTAAAAGAAACGAACTTGATGTTGTATTGTTTAACTGCTGCCCGTTTGTTGATAGCTCAAAATTGGAAGAGTAAAGTTCTACCTACAATGGAGGACTGGAGATTGAAGGTTTCGCATCTTGCTGAAATGGCAAAAATTTCGGCTTATCTGAAGGATCATTCAAATGAACAATTTTTATCAATATGGAGAAGATGGATTGTTTATATTCAAAATAAGCATAGAATGGTGGAATACAATTTAGGTTTTTAGATAATTTGTTTTCTTTTTTTTATATATTTCACCTACTTATGTAGAATAATATTTTGTGGAGTTAGGGATATTAATAACAGTTTACTTTTAGTTGAATAGTATCCTGGGATTAGGTTTGGGAAGTCCGGGGGTGGGGGGTGGGGGGTAGGGTTTTTACATTGTGATGTATTTGTGATGTGTTTTTTTTTTTTTATGATGAAAATAATAAAAATTTATATTTGAAAAAAAAAGAAGGGGAAGCCAGATTCACTTAACAGCTGTGTTATTAAATTAACAACTGCAGTGATTCACTTAATAGTTGTGGCAAGAAAAGTCGTAAAATGGGGCAAAACTCATGTAACAAACGTCTCACTTAGCAACATAAATTTTGGGGTCAACTGTGGTTGTACACCAAGGATTCCCTGTACTTACATACATACCCATCTTATTTTTCTTTCCAGACTAAACACATTAAATAAAGTGGAGAAAAAGAGCCAGAAGCAACAAGCGAAAGAAATAAAAGAAAAAAAGGAAAGTTAACTAAATCTAGCTTATGCTCAGTTCATTTAATATACTGTATTGCTCTGTGCTTTCCTACCTTTGCAAATTATCCTTGCTTTTACCAAGTCCATACACCAATTCCTACATAGTATTTTGTCCTATAAACTTCTCACCAATATTCCCTCTAATTTCTAACATGGCATGCGTGAGAAATAGTTGTTCTGTGGCGTTCTTCCTAAACCATGTTCAAATTCGTGCACCATAATATGAGTATATGAGCAAATTGCAACTGCAGGCAATAGTGACATGCTAAAATATTTGCATGTTGCTAAAAGCATAGGAATTAGAAAGCATAATAGTGTTTCAAATACAGGTAATCCTTGCTTAGTGACCACTGTTGAGATCGGCGACTTGGTTGCTAAGTGTTATGGTTGCTAAATGAAATATCACATGATCATTTATGTTTATCACCCACTTTTGCTTTTGGTCATTAAGCAAGTCATCATGGTTGTTAAGGGAGACATTAGGTGTGCAACTTGTGATTTTACTTCTGCGTCTAATCTGCTTGTCAGAAAGTGGTTGTGAAGCAGACAAATGGTAATCCCTGACCACGGGACACTGTGATGGTTGTAAATACAAGCTGGTTGCAAACTGGCTGATTGGTGATCGTTTGGTCATGGGATAGTATGATGGTTGTAAACGTGAGAATTGGTTGCAAAGCTTTTTTTTTTTTTAATATTATTGTAACTTTGAATAGTTGCCAAACAAGGCAGTAAATGAGCACTACCTGTAGCTGCTTAAAGGTTGCAATTTGTAGTCATTTTTTGACTTTTGGCAACTGCCTTCTGCAGTTTTTAGAAGGGGCTTGCTGGTTTTTTTCTTCCTAAGGCAGAGGGGGAACTGGCCCAAACTCAATGAGTTTTATACTTAAGGCAGATCTAGAATTCAAAACCTGATGCCTTAGCCACTACACCAGCCTGGCTCTATGTGTATGTGCTTATTCACTAGTCACTGAAGCCAACAAACAAAATGTGAAAGTGAGGGCCAAAGCCCTCTCCTGTATACCATGTTTCCCCCAAAATAAGACCCAGTCTTATATTTTTTTTGCCTCCAAAAGAGGCACCAGGTCTTATTTTTGGGGGATGCCTTACTCACTTACCTTAGGACCTCTGCAGCCAGGCCTCCCAATCCCGACACCTGTTGCGCCGCTGCCCAAGTTCTTCGGCTGCTTGCAGCCGCTTGTGGCTGGGCACCATGTGGTGCATTGTGCCGGTGCTGCTGCTCACGGCAGGAGGCCATGTGGCTCGTCATGCTGATGCTGCTGCTCACGGCAGGAGGCAGCGTGACTCATCGCGCTGATGCTGTCGCTCATGGCAGGACGCTACCTGGCACATTGTGACGTGGCACACACAAGTGGCAGCACTGATGTGCTGCACGGCCTGCCGTGAGCGGTGGCATTGGCGCGATGAGCCACGCGGTCTCTTGCCGCGAGTGGCAGCACCGGCGTGATGTGCCATGTGGTGTCCAGCCATGAGCAGCTGCAAGCAGCCACAGAAGAACTCGAGCAGCGGCACTACAGGTGTTGGGGCATGGGAGGCCTGGCTGCAGAGCTCCTAAGGCAGGGGGTGTCAAACTCAATTTCATTGAGGGCCACATCAGCATTGCGGTTGCCCTTGGGCTGGGTGGGTGTGACCAGGGTTGGTGCAGCCTACTGGGTGGCGTGGATGGAGTAGGTGTGGCTTATTGGGTGGGCATGGCCAGCTCTACATCGTTTGTGTCAAGGGTGCCTGTGGGGGCCTGGACAGGAGTGGGACAGATCTGAGGGTCTCTGGCAGAAGGGGGTGGGACCGGGGCAAGTGCCAAGGCATGGTCCACTGGAGGAACCTCACCATTCCTCTCAGGCCATGCGCGGGAGCTGGATGGTGGTGTGGGCTGCCCGGAGCCCTGGGCAGCAGAGGTCAAATGCCTAGCCTGGCCCTCGAGCACCCGCAGTACCAAGCCCAGCCCCACTTCCCCAAGGGGGCACCCAGCTGCACTTACCTCCTCAAGGCTGCTGCTGCTGTGCTTGCTTTCCTTAGCCAGGTTGCTCATGATGGGTACGAGGGCAAAGTCAGAGGGAGGCCCATTCCCTCTCCATGGGATGAGACCCGGCTTTGTATCCAAAACTTCCTTAGCAATAGGATGGGAGACCCCCAGGATAGGCCAGGAGGAGGGGGCAAGGGGATGGTAAAAGGGCAGCAGGGCAGGACTAAGACAGGACTTCACTTAGACCCTCCCTCTCCTTCTTTCCTTCTTTCCTTCCTTCCTTCCTTCCTAAGTACAGAGTGGTGGTAAAATATTTGAGATGAGGGAGGGAGAAAAACAGGCAAGAAATGCAACTGGGGAGGTGTCACCCTTCATGAGGAATGAAGAAATGCACCATCGCCTGGAAGTGGCCAGCACATGGCCCTCACCTACTTCACATATCTGGCTTGGTGGGCTCTGGGGGAGTGGATGCCATGAGCAGTGTGAGAGTCAACGTTACCTGCGCAATGCTACCCAGCCCCCAGCCTGCCCGGTTTCGGCAGGCAGAGAGGCACTCTCCTCACAGCGCTGAGAGGCTGAGTCAGGCAGTGCAAATCTGAAAATAAGCACGAAGCTGCCCAGCCCCCAGCCTGCCCGGTCTCGGCAGGCAGCGGAGCGCTTTCCTCACAGCGCCAAGAGGCTGAGCCAGGCGGCACAAATCTGAAAAGAAGCGCGATGCCGCTCAGCCCCCAGCCTGCCCGGTTTTGGCAGGAAGCGGGGTGCTCTCTTCACAGCGGCGAGAGGTTGAGCCGGGCGGTGCGAAGCTCGCCAGCTTTGCACCTTGCTGCCTGCGGAAACTGGGCAGGCTGGGGACTAGGTAGCATTGCACTTCTCATCAGATTCGTGCTACCCGGCTCAGCTCTTGGTGCTGTGAGGAGAGCGCCCCGCTGCCTGCCGAAACCCCTCCCCCGGAGCCCATCAAGCCAGATATGTGAAGTAGGCGAGGGCCATTTGCTGGCCACTTCCTGGCGATGGTGCATTTCTTCATTCCTCACAAAGGGTGACACCTCCCCAGCATGCACCCAGGGGGCGGGGCCAATGCGGCAGGGGCTGGTTCCTTGCTGTTTCCAGATGGCCTTGTGGAGCTAAGACTGAATGCATTTCAGCATAGATGGCCACCACAAAATTGTACATTGACTCCCAACCGGCCTGGGCCAGGGCCAAGGCAGCAGGGGCCGTTCCCTCACTGTTTCCAGGATGGCTTCGCGGGCCACATGAAACCACTTCGTGGGCTGCAGCCGGCACCCGGGCCTTGTGTTTGACATGTCTGTTCTAAGGTAAGCAGGTATGGGGCGCGTGGGGAACTCCACCTCCCCACCTCTTCCCTAGCTTGATTTTTACACATGGCCCTCGCCCCCAAACTAGGGCTTATTTGGGGGGGGTAGGGCTTATATTAGGTGCACACGTAAAAAATCAAGCTAGTCTTATTTTGGGGATAGGTCTTATTTTTGGGAAACACAGTACATGAAAAGAAGGGTCTTGTCTTTGGTTGCAGAGATAGTACATAGTGATTAGGGTCTGCGGCTATTGATAATCTGGATTCCCAATTCATTTGTCTAATGTTGCCTTAAAATTACCTAAATTAATATCAGGAGTTACCATTTCATATGCAAGCAGAAGCATATTTTAACTGCACTGGACCTCTTTTGGCCTGTCTTTCACATCCTCCATCAGATTACTTTAAATTCTAGCATTATGAGTCCTTATCTTTATTTGCTTGCTCCATATCATCTATGATTTATAAAACCCCAGATATAGCTTCCAGCAAAAATGGCTAAAATGTGGTAAATGTGGTTGTTGTCTTTTGTAGTTTCAGTGTGAAGCTAGGTTAGTGACGGTGATTTTGTTTATTGTATTGTGCAAATCAAGCAATTGAATTACTTGCATATAGTCACAATTAAATTTAGCATGTGTTGAAATATTTATGTGAACACCCCTAACTACTTTTTCCAATTTAAGGGCTGTGCTTGTCCTTTGAGTGGAATATCAGGGCTAAACTCCAAAAAGTGGGAGGAATCAGGATAAAAATGAAATGTGATTGAACCAAATCAAAGCTTAAACAATCTACAATTACTATGATTGTTAGATTAATATCAATATGATTATTAGAGCCAGTTTGGTCTAGTGATTCAGACACCAGGCTAGAAACTGTGAAGACTGTGGGTTCAAGTCCTGCCTTAGGCATGAAACCCAGGTGGGTGATCTTGGCCCAGTCACTCTCTCTCAGCCATCCCACCTCACAGGGTTATTGTTGTAAGGACAATAGGAGGAGGAAGGAGTATTGTGTGCTGTTTTGAGTGTTTATAAAAATAATAAAAACAGATATAAATAAATAAAAATAAAAAATCATTCCATGGATTTAATAATGTTCTCTTCTCACATCTCTCCCATCAAAAATTAAAATTTTTGAACAGGATTTGGGAGTAGAGATGGGAGTGTACCGCTGCTCTATTATGTTGTCCTTAGAGATATATTTTTGCAACTTAAAAACACAACATGTCCAAAGTGTGTAACTCCCAGAATTCTACTCTTTTTGCATAAAATTTGGTTTCATGTGCCAATAGGATCCTCATACNTTATCAACAGGCCCACTTGCACCCCTTGCCCCCACTTCACAAGGAGGGACTCTGCACCGTCTATCTGAGGCACAGTGGCCTCCCTTGGACATAGGTTCTCCCTTATAATGACCGCTACCCCCCCGCCCCTACCCCGGGTCCTTGGCTGATGAAATGCCTGGAAACCTGGCGGGCACAGATCAACAAGGGGAACTCCCCCTCTATGCTTAAAGAGCAGATTAACTCTTATCTGCATAAACATGTTTATTACAGTGATTTCCTACTTTTTTCTATAGAAGATATATACATCTTCCATGTGGAAGTTTTAGACCTAAGTGCTTTGTAAAACAGATGAAGTAATTGTGGGGTGGGGGGTTAAGAGTGATGTGAGTAGAATTTATATTAATAACTCATAGGTAAGTTGCTGGACTGAAAACAGGACCTTGTAAATTCTAATACCCTCTTATGCATAAAGGCTGGCTGGTGAATTTGGGCCGGTCACTTTCTCTCAGACCAATCTACCTCATAGGGTTATTGCTGTGGGGAGGAGATGGAGGTGGTAGTATTATGTACACTGGCTTGAATTGTACAAAAGAAAGGTGGGATGTAAACATAATATTAAGTAAATAAATAAATTATATAAATAAAAATGTAAATGTTCGTTTGTTCAAAATCTTAAATCTCCGAAAGTTCTTCACCGATTGCTTTGAAATTTTGACACAACGTTGCATTCGAATACGCACGTGTTTTTATATACCTACTATTATATAGATGTATAGATGTCACACCTGTGACAGGTAAAAACATGCTTTTTTTGAAAAACAGCGCCATCTGTTGGACGTAAAAGCAACACACGCTAGCATTGTGAAATTAAACATATTACAAACGTGCGCTTTCTCTTTTCTTTCTTTTCCATTTAACCAGACTGAGCCACAGCAACGCGTGGCCGGGTACAGCTAGTAGAATGTATAAAAAGGAAGAAAGTACGAATGGGAAAATTATAAACTCTTCTGTTCCTGACCAAAAACTAAAGGAATGGACAAAATAGAGGACTTAACGAAAATGCTATCTAAGCTAAAGTTGGGAAATTTTGTCTATTGTGGTAACTTAAAATAAGCGGCTTGGCATTTCCTGTGAGTAATGCTGCACCTTTTGATCCAATTGTTAAGGGGAAGATGGTTATCAGAGATTCACCCAGCAATGAATTACATTATAGTATCAGCCTCATGTATAAGTTTATATAATCCACAGTCAGTTTGTGTCAGACCCATCCAATTAGCTCTGACACTCAATTGATGTAATGCAGGAAACCCATATTTTATAGTGTATTCATATTCTTCAGCCTGAAAAGAAGAGCATATGATTATTGTTATTAATATCAAACCTTTCCCAATCAATGACTAAATAGCTGTAATGGGGCTGTGAGAATAACCTTGAGAGACAAGAAGTAGAACTACAGCTAGACAATGGTTTGATAAGAGAAATCTAAACCCAAATGAGGGATGGGGTAGAGAAAATGTCTCAGAAGGGACCCTCCCTGGTTCTCTGGAAGGTAAAGGCAAAGAGGGGGAAACTACTTCTAGACTTGCAAAATTGTGATATTGTAACCTTACAATAAAGGTAGTATTAATACCTATAGTTTTAATTTCCTGTGTGATTAGAACAGGGGTACGTACCCAATCCCCGGTCCAT